TTTTTTTTTTTTTTTTTTTTTTTTTTTTTTTTTTTTTTTTTTTTTTTTTNTTTTTTTTTTTTTTTTTTTTTTTTTTTTTTTTTTTTTTTTTTTTTTTTTTTTTTTTTTTTATGTGAACATACATAAATGCTACTGAGGTCTACATTCGTTCACTGCCATGAACACTACAATTGAAGCCCGAAGCCTTTACATGTGCTCAGCAATCAACCTTTCAGCAACAGACCCACCCTACTGAAGGTTCATAATTTCACTGTATGCCCAGACCCCGAACGCCTACCAGCTGACTGTTTACCCACTTACATTTGCTTTTGTAGCGGCATGTGTGTCGTGTGGTCGCTTTTCAGTCACTTCCATTTCCACATTTTCACTAACTCAGTTGTTCGAATTTATTTGCCTTTCCGCTGCCATTCCGCCACAATAACAAGGCAGTTCTTTCGTTCTTGGGCAAATTTGGTCAATTAATGAGTGTTCCGATATTCATATTCATGTTAATTATACTAATTAGACGCGGATTGCAATTAAAATAACGTGACCGTAATCCCCCCGCCCCTACACATTAGCAGCGGCCTTTTGTGTGAATTTGATTTTCGTTTTTGTGACCTTTTTGTTGTTGGGCTATTTGTTTTTTTTTTTTTTTATGGAAAATGCATACATTAAAGTAAATTGTGCAGATTAGCCGACAGGGCGGGGCCCTTTTATTGCATTTTCAATCGCGTCATTATAATACTTAATTGCTTGTAAAGTGGGCGTTGCCCCGTTTGTGTCCCTCAAAAGAAGTTTGTGCATATTTGAGCTTCACAAAAGCGCATTCTTACAAAGATTATAAACGAAATATTTAGAATTTGATTTCAACTTTAATTTCTGTCGAGGTACAATTTGTAAAGCTAGCCTATAATTTTAATTATAATAAGTCTGAATCAAAATCACGTAAGCCGAATAAAAATTTAGAAATGAAGCAATTAACAGCGATCATGTGATGAAATTAAGAGAACCAGTAAAGGCTGGTAAGAGATTGCAAAAGAGAGGATTCAACAAAATAACGTTAGGGTCTCTTACTGTAACACGAGACGAAGCTTCGTTAGCACCTTATGACTACTTTACTCAGTTAAAGTATTTAGAAATCAAAATACTGATACGATCGAACCTAGAACTGTCTACTTTATTGAATAAGTTCCTTTTCTTTGGCTATTGCTTTTTGACTTTGTTTGTAAGTCGCTTATTCGAAAGGAACTCAAAAATATCCGGATAAAAGATACAAGTGCCTACTTTTTGAAATGCAACAAGCTCAAGCTGCACTGTTTAATCAGATTTAATCGATAACTTTTTATAACACGGCGTAATTTTCGCATACCTTGGAGGCAAAGAATTTGGAAAGTTACCAATTGTTTGAAATTTTAAATTTGTAAAATCAGTTTGCAATTTTAAATCAGTAATGTATAAAATTTAAGTATATGATAAGACGTCTCAGAAAGCATATCGTTCACAATATTTTTTTCAATAGAGTTGCCACCTATTTGAATACATTTATAACTAGTTTAACAAATGTTTACAATATTGAGACATGAAACTAAAGTGTCTTCCAAATGTTTTACTTTAACAATTTCTGAATTGGGTTTTTTTCAATAGAGTTGCCAATTATTTGAATGAGTTAATATTTGGTTTTAGAAATTTTTACAATATTTAAACACGAATCCAATGTGTCTTTAGAATGCTTATACTTTCACAATTTCTGGATTTGCTTTTTTTCAACAGAGTTGCCACCTATTTGAAAGAGTTAGAACTTCTTCTTCTTAATTGGCGTAGCCACCGCTTACGCGATTATAGCCGAGTTAACAACAGCGCGCCAGTCGTTTCTTCTTTTCGCTACGTGGCGCCAATTAGTTAGAACTTACTCCAGAAAATTTTTACAATATTTAGACACGAAACCAAAGTTTCTTACGAATGTTTATACTTTAACAGTATCTTAATGTGGTTGCCACCTGTTCAAAAGAAGTTTTGTGAATACAAGATAATGAAAAATTACAAATTATAGTTGAAACCCATCTCACCGCATTAAAGAAGTTTTCTGCCGCCGGTATTTTTTCCAAGCATTGCCACCTTTTTGAAACTGACGTGGTAAATATTTCAGAAATTTCATGCATATACATATATTACATTTTCTTTTTATTATCTAACTACTTATTTAATCATAAAACTATATAAATTCTCTAACGATTAATCTAAAAATAAAATCACTAAAATATACACTGCAATCGATTTCCGAAAATAGCAGGCCATCATGCTCAAAGCCTCAAAGGTTACACTTCATTTACGAGTATATTCAATATTACTCTCTCATTTGCACGTCGTTTAATTTCGGATTTCTTTGAAAGTGATTTTCGTTGAAAACACAGACGACCCAATTAACTTACACGTAAGTAAATAKTCGGATGACATTGCACCAAATTTCACAGCTGGAAGACATATACATACATTCGTATGACATATATGTTACTTAACKTTTCCTCCATCGTGTCGATAATAATATAATATTGAAGTGAAATTAATTGGCACATTCACAAACAGAACTTGGACGCTGGCGAAGCTAGGGCGAAAGGCCGGACTCGGCTGACAGAAACTTTCTTAAGTAAGCATGCAATTCAGGCTATTGATGGTATTGTTGGATTGAATTTATCTGTGAAAAGGCAGCTGGTTGTGCGCGAGTGGGTTCTCAAATAGTTAGCAGTTTTGAAGCCATCACCAAAAGTGGGTAAAATTACTAGAGTGTGTTCTGACAGAGAAGCAAATATAAATATATGGTAATCTAAAAATATTTCAACTGCACTAATCTGGTGTCTGTCTGACTTTAATAACTTAGAAAAAATAAAATGTCTTTTTCAATGACGAAAATATCGTTCTCGCTTTCCCTGAAATTTAATCGGATAATTGTCTTCAGCTCAAATCGCACAATGGCATCTTTTGTTGGAAGTGTGAGTAAAAACTTTTCTGGCAGACAGATTCTGACCTCGAACCAGTCGAACCAATGCAAAGCTTGAGCGAAAAGTTGCACAAAGCTAAGGTCAAAAGTGCCAAATTCGAAATACGATCACACAGGCGCTTCGCTTAAGTATTTAAAAATAGTTGAAATCTTAATGCCTTGCTATGCCTCTTCTTTTCTTCCCTCTTCTCTGTTTTCTTTAATTTCTCGAATTTTTGTATTTTTCATTAGCTTGAGCGGCAGCTAGCTTAAAGTTAGCCGGCTAAGGGATTTTTGTGGGATTAGTGAGTGTTTTTTCTGCTTTGAGCTAATTAGCAGGAAAAGGAAATTACTCTGCAGCCAAAGCCAAAGCAAATGGTATGTAAATTACTGAAAGGCGTTWAGCAAAGGAATTTAAGAGCAAGAAAAAGCGCCTTTGATGCTTTTCGCACAAGAAGACGTGTGTTTGTGTGTGTGTTCATTTAGTTAAAATTTCACTAGTGATAGAGTATAAWCATATTTAGAAGAATAGGAGTTAATAAAGCTGAAACACTTAAATTGGTTTAAGTGGCATCCAAAAGTTATGTTAAAGTTGAAATTAAAGGAGAGCTGGACTCTCAGTTCTTCTTTATTGGCGTAAACTCCGGGTTTGGACGATGGAGTCATGGGTAGAAGTTTTCACAAGTGAGGAAAGCTCTCTGCGYGCTATTCTCTTGGGATTGGCCAGAAACGATTCTTTTAGACATGGCTCAAGCAGCTCACGACTTCCGGTCTCAGACCAAGTTTCTCTGGGTAGCCAAAAAACATCTGTTTAAAGACCAACGAGAAGGCGAACATACCTCCCCTGGGTTACGCGCTGGGTTTGGGACCTTCCACGAAATGAAAAGAAGAAAACAGCCTCGGATGAGTGACTTTCTCACGTACTTTTTAGGTCAAACTTATTGGCAGCACTGCATTTCTCCACAAAAAAAATTAACTGTATGTGGCAGCTCTGGTGAATTTTGTTTAAACTATGTTCTCTTAAGCACGTTTACTTAATGTTTTCAATTTGGTAAACATTTTGATTTATATATAGAAGCTAATTTTGTTTTTCAAACAGGTGGCAACCCAACATATTTAAACTTCAAGCTCTTAGTTTATTTACATATATTACCAACAAAAAATGTTTTTCGGAGTCTTTAAGAATAATATCTACAAGCATAAACACATTATTTAATTAAAATACATTAGGGTGAGTGAAAAAAATATATATTAATAAAATAATTAAAATTACATGTTTCTTCTTCGTACTCTAACACTTGCTAGATAGTCACCTCTAAGAATGGCTCTTGAAGTATCAGCTTTTAATTGTAACGGGAACGTAGTCGGCTAAAGGTYTTCTATTTTTATCTTATTATCCGATAGAAAAATGTTTATCTCGGTTGAAAACATATTTCGTATTTTGGATTTTGTAGAAAAGTGAATGTTCTTCAGAAAAGGTCCAATATGATTATTTCGTAAATCCAAACATCTAAAAGATAGTATTAACTGATAATAAGAAAAACAGACCTCCGTTAGGCGGATACCTTCAAGTTATAATTAAGAACTCATATTTGGAGAACCTTTTTTATACATAGAKACGTCTGTTAAGCAATTTTTCAAAGTACCAAGCGAAAAAATTATTTGGTTGTTTTTTGACCTACCCTAATATACATATATGTTGCTTATACAGATACCTTATTTATTTTTAAAGGTCCCTATAAATCAATTTTCCAAACTATCAATCGAAAGAAAGTTATTTAATTCTTTTGATACACCCTAATATACAAATATGTATGTACCTACAGATAAAGCAGCGCCAATTTTTACTTCATATGTACTTTCTTCTTCTTGCCTCTCATTTCATTTGCATTCACTACTTTAGCATTCGTAAAGTCACTCCCTTACGCCCCAGTGGGCAAATAAAAACTATTAACACGAAAGAAATTGCAAGCTGCATCTGTTTCTAAGCGTTATCTTACCGTGAAATTTGCTTTTAGAAAAAAGAAAGTAACCGTTTGCTTACCTTATAAAGTATTTCCGGTCGCACATTGTGCTTGCATTTCATCGTGGCGCTGGAGCCGCGCTCCACATACCGCGGCACCACTAATTGCACATCCAGCTCAGATTGTCCATCTACAAAGAGAGAAGTGACAAAATCAACATAAGAAGTGCTATAAAAAAAGAGTTTAAGAGTGTCGCACATATTTTAGTATTAGACATTATTCTTTTGGGAAACTTTTTCACCAAAAGTGTTGCGAGCACAGTAAATCACATAGATAATCCGGCAGATCAATATAGAGGGAAGTGGCTCGAAAAAATGTATGTTTGACAACTCAACGTTTATTCGAGCGAATAACTTTACTTAGTTTTCAAGAAGCGGAAAATAATAGTTTTTGATAGCTGTAAATTAAAAATTTTGCTGGAAAATTTAAAACAACAAAATCCAAGGAACATCTGAGTTGAAGTAATTGATAAGTCTGTGCATCTAGTCATGAATAAATCGAGTAAATATTGAACTTTGAATTCTATTATATTAGAGCCCACGTTTCAAAATAAAACACTTCTGAAATCTTTACACAGCCAGCTCCATGAAAATTCCTACTATTTCTCAACTTAAAATATATAATTTCGAATTCGAACACACATTTCATTTATATAATTTTAAGCTAGAATAGTCCATATTGATCCAAGAGCTGAGATAACGATATGGTTGCCCTTTAACCACTCGAAATATAAACACATACACGGAAATATTCAATTACATCAATAGATTTGTAGGTACAAATATGTTTATATGCCACCTATCCATCTAGTCAATTAATTATTCATAAGCATAATAGATGTATAAGCAGTCGCTGTGGTAATGGATTCCATGTATACAAGTTAATCCCTGACAAGGCGTTGACATGGCATTTCGCACACAAGTGATTTGTTGCTGATGCCAAGTAATGCCAGAGAGTGTGGAAAATATTACTTATACAACGCTCAGCTGCTAAGCGCCAGAGCATTTTTAAAAATGTTTGCACTAAAAATTTAAAGCCATAACCATAAGAACACATCAATGTATGGTATGTACACGAGTGTAGGAAAAATGCATATACCCAGCGGCAATATGAAGGCAAAAGTTACTTTGTATATCTAAGATGAGAAGTGCCTTTTTTAGTATAGAAAATGCTGGTGATGAACGCTTTACAATTCCAACTGGGTATGAACTTACACCAYACATGTCTTCCTCTTCCATGATTATCCATGTGTGAGTAGGTATAGTATGTGTACCATATAAAAATATTATCATTTCTACAAAAAGCGAAAGCTGCATTGGCTTAAGCTTATCAAAATTTATTTTCAGCGTCTATAAAAGTTAATACGATGCACATAAAGAGACATTATACATAATAGTACTTATGTATGAATGGCMTGCAAATTTGTCACATAAAAAATTCCAGCAATAAAGATTTCATAGCTGCAACGGTTCAAAATTTTCCATCGCCATCGATTGGGRAATCGTTTKCRACTTCTCCTGGCGTTATACWTTCACTGCCATTCAGCAGGCTGGAGAAGTGTTGCTTCCATAAATTCCGATGCTATAAACATCAGCCAGTASATCACCACTTTGGGTTCTACAATGGCATGTTCCTCCTCTTTTTGTAGAATTTTYGAGCATTACCCCTGTTGGCCASCTTCTCAAGATGCGTTTGTTGACGTGGTGTCTTGCTGTACAGAGACGCGTCCGTATCTTCGCTACAACAAGATAGTGGTTCGAGTTGATGTTTGGAGCGTACGCATATATAGGAYACTGGAGACATGTCATTCATTTATCACCACCTAATCGACCTRCTTTCGAATTTTTCTATGCGGGGACAGCCAAGTAGCTTGAGGAGGACATCAACGTGTTTGGTAGCCGCACCTTCCCAATTTAGGAACCGGACAATCTAAACGCATGCTCTTAAATTTTTGTCCTTATTACAATGCTATGGTATTCATCAAACCTGGGGTATTTCATCCGAGGCTGTTGTTCCATATTCATTGGGAGTGATTTCTACGTGGCTGGTCCTGAACCCAGCACACAACGGCACTAGGGGAGTAGTTTTGTATATATTTATATAGCAAGCTGCTTATTTCAAGACCGACTACCGCTCGCAGCCGCACATCTAGTGAACAGACACTGCAATTACACTTCAGCGAACCCTTTAACCGAACATGTCGTAGTGACTCCACTGAATCTTTCTCTCTTTTAGTCATGAAGCCAAGCTACACACATTTGGCTACCGCATCTTACAAACAGATTTCTCGCGTTACCAGGTTGCGCGGTGTGAACGGTAGAATAGGAATTGGGTATGGCCCTACGACTTAACCGCTTTCCTAGAAGCATGACTATACCCCATTTCACGAACTTTCCTAATCCGTATTTGGGGTTCACTTGTCCCAATTTTCAAACCTAAACACTCACCCAMGTATTAAAATATTTGTACATTTAGTATGTACAATATAGACTAAAGTACATTTTCGAAGAATCTTTCTCATTGTACATTAATAGAAAAAGGGATGCCGCGAAAGTGCGGTTTCGTGAAAATATTGTCATTGTAAATCCAAAGCTGCTGCTAAGACGATTGCGAGCCATAAAGTCAGTGACAGGCATTACACACTTGATCGCTTCTGCTTTCGGGTTGCTCATTGTGCCCTTTTGTCAGCACTCTTTTCTCAGCCCTTTTTTGCCAATTTTCAATTCACCGCTTTTCTTAACCTAATAGTAAACACTTTGCATCCCGTTCAATGTCCTTGATGACTTTTTTCGAGCGCACGAATGACAATGACCATCGGCTAAATGTATGGGAAACAGCGAAATGACAGTAGCAGCCACTCAACTCACTCTCTAACGGTAGCGGCGGCGAAGGCTAGATTAAGAAAAATACATTTRCGCTGGAAAAAAAGGGAAACAAAAATCGATTTCCAATTTATGAGCAGATTTATGGGTTTATTAAAAGCCATTGTAGCGCGATTTTATGGCCATTTGGGTATAGTTATGCTCTCACAACACCAGCAACATATAGCAGGTAGGTAAAAATACAAAACATATATGTATGTATACATAAACATATAGTATGGATATATATAAACGTGTGTATGAGTTGCCTAGAGCCAGCAGCGGCAGGAATCGCTTAACAGTTGGCGATTTTATCTGGTAAAAATATTTTGCCAACTGTTACCCGCTTATTAATCATTCAATTAAGCGACTTTTCGGCCCAAACGCTGGCGCCAGCATYGCCAATGAATGTCGGATCGGATCGGGTCGACTATTACTTGCGCTTACTACAGCTGAATATTAAACACGCCAGTCATTTTGAAGCACTCCGCTGAGGAAACGCGGCAAGTCAATTGCCGATACCGGAACTGTTCGCCGGCGAGCACGAGTGTTTTGTACCGTTGCCCATATGGTCATAAATCTTCTTAATCCCAACCAAATAAACATTGRGCTTACAAACGCAGCACAACACAACAACATGAGCATAAGCTTAAACAACAACAATAGTACAATAACAAATCGCATTTAAATGGCAAATCACAAAGCGGACATAATAAATTTGAATGCTATAAATTGGCCACAATGGAGGAAAAGCCAACACAAAGAGACCAAGACAGCCTAACACTAGAACAATGCTGGTACATTCTTGTCCGCAGCCTAAAAAATCGTTGAGGCAGAAAGCGACAGAAAAAGAACGAGCTGACGCAACGAGTGACAAAGCAAACTTATGGGAGTAGCAGAAGCCCACCAATCTCGGTACGATTGCATCGCTTAAATTTTCTTGGCTTTTCTTCTCGCTAGATTCCTCTAAGCTACTCGAAATGAAGCAAAGCGACTGCTCAGCCGACCGTTAATTATTTCAAAATACTGCGTTGCGCCACAACGCGGTTGGCCTTTATATAGGCGTATAAGGGAAAAGAGAGAATAAAGATGGCGGTAGCTTCAATAACGGATTGGGTCGCTCGACGGTTTTCGTTTTTGCCCTAGCACTTTCAGATGGCCGTTAAGACTTTATCGGTGCCGCTTTCTTTCTAATTTCCACTTTTGCTGTTGTAAAATAGTGCCTAGAAAAATAGATTTGAAGAAGACTCGAAAGAAGAGTAAATATGTATAAGAACAACATTCGACAACAATTGAAATTTACYGATTCGCACCAACAACGCATGTGGGAGTAAGAGTGAGCGAAAAATACCATTMTGAAAATATTTTCTTAGCATGAATGTGCTGATCTGGGCAGCCYGCGCACACTTTCATCAGTATAATTCCGTTTTACTTCCAAAAATTAGTATTGTGGCAGTAATTTTCTTATTTTAGTTAGCAGCGTCTTATGAAGTTGAAGGTCTCACGGGATGGTCTCAGCTGACTGAAGTAAATATGAAATTCTTCCATCAACCGCTGGGCCTAAGATTCTGTTTTAGTTGACGAAATCAAACAGTGGAGAAATTTCATTAGAAAGGTTGTCCTAATATAKTTTGTTAGTAATGATACGGTTAGCAATTACCCGTCTGAAGAACAACAAAGCGGAGGGGCCGATGGGTTGCCGGCTGAGCTATTTAAATACGGCGGCGAAGAACTGATATGGAGCATTCACCAGTTTTTTTGTAGAATATGGTCGGACGAAAGCATGCACAACSACTGCAAACGCCAACTACCGTGGTWTAATTCTTCTCAACATCGCAAATAACGTTTCATCGAGCGTAAGATTCAAGCCCACCATCAATAACAGATTGGACCTTAACAATGTGTCTTTAGGTCTGCTTAGACCTTCCAAG